ATCTGAATTCAGTTCCCCGTGAATCGTGAACCTTTACGAAACGGGGGAGGGAGGGGTTGTAAGCATCAATTCATCAGTTAGCCCAAATTCAATCCAGAATCTATCTACATATAACTAAAAAAATAGCCTCAGAGGGCCAAACAAACCCAGTTCATTTCTAACACCGGCGTTGTTTTTTATTCATTTTTTGACACTTTTCTCATGCGGCTTCTAACGCCGGTGTCGATGTTGGAGAGTGAACTGGCCATTCACCCAGCAAGTGAAGGGCTGACAGGCCATCGCTTTCAGATTGCTTTAATTAGCCCGGTTCACGTAGGGCGTTTTTATGACATGTGTGAAAAGTCGCACTGCTCGTCGCTTAAACTATTTTGCTTAAATTGTGCGTGGGACTCTGCCAAAATTTTAACAAGATGTCGTTTAGTGTTGCTCGTCATACAAATTTTATTTGTGAACAAGCAGCTACGTGAACCGGGCTATTGATTGCTTTGATCCAATCTGAATTCATTCCAACCTTGCTGAGCCTCACCAAACTTGATGAACCTCTGGTTTGCTGAGCTATCATCAAGCATCCTCTTGGCCTACAACCAATCACAACTCAGCCTCCCTGATTCAGATTACTGTCAATTCCTACTCAAAAAGCAACTTTTTTCTGAAAATCATCCTTTTTGTTTAAAAAAGCCAATAACATCAAATAACATCAAAACATTCTTAAACAAGCCAATAACATCAAATAACATCATCATCATGTATCAATTCAAATGATATTGAAAATAATTGTAGCAAACAATAGTAAAAGCATCAGAAACCTTTGAAGAAACTGAAAGAGGTGGTAAAATCTGCAAGTAAGACTGACTGAACTCATTCAAATTTGAAGTATCATGCAATGTAAAATCTGCATATTCCCTTTCACATTGAAATTTTCCTCAGCTTGCTTTTAGCTTATAGTCCAAGGGGATCAAAAACTGCCATAGAAAGTAAAACATTTTTTCAGTTTTGAAACTGAAGAAAGTTTTGCTAATGTATCAAATACTGATTGAATGACAGTAAAATTTCAAAGTACCATCTGTATAACATATTTTCCGATCTACATGAGCCTCAGATAGACAAACAGAGTGTCAGAATCTCCAACCTTGGCATCAATCCTCAATCCAGATTTCTGATTTGTATGGCATTCTCATGAAGCTTTTGAGTTTGATTTCTTCATCAAAGACTGAATTCCAACTCCTCATTGTAAATTCTTTGGATTTAAATCTGGATGCAATTTTTGCTTCTATGATGCCACATTGACATTAATAAATTTGCTGTGACCAAAGAAGCATAGACAAAATTTTATTTTGAGATAGGATTAAAATCTACGTTTGAATTCATTCCTGAAAATAGCATGGATCATTTCAAAAGAATTGCTCCCCCTTAATTTTTATTCTAACCCTATATATCTTCTCTGATTCAAGGACAAAACATGGCAAGTGTGACCTGATGCAAAATAATTGTTTACAACACCTGTTCAGTTTTTCAAAAATTCCAGTAATACCTTGGTCAAAAATGGGAAGTATAAAAAATTCTAATCAAGGTAATTGTTTCAATTGAATACTTGAGTTTTTTAATTCAGAATCAATGCTTAAACTTGGTTTCTTCCTCAGAGATCACTCAAAATTCAATTCAAAAAAATCCAAAGCTGACAATGTGCACATTTCACAGTAACTGTGCATAAATTGTTACTTTATTTTTTTTTTGTAGTTATAAGACAAGCTACATTGGGAGTTATAACCCACATTTTGGCTGCTTCCAGTTTGGTATATGTTTTCTTGAAGTTTGGTATATGTTTTCTTGAAGGTAAATTTTTCCGGCCCCATTTGGACAGCCCGTTATATGTCATAAACCATTAAATTTATAATGTGTGACCCCCAGGGCTCTGAACTTTTGGCGCAGATGGGGGATCATCTATAACTAAGGGGGCAATTTATGATGTATAACAGGATGTCCAATTGGGGCTCAATTATTGAGAAGTGAAATTTTGGAATACCCACCTTATGATGTCACTCAGGTGCAAATACATAACAACTATTTGGAGAGGTACACATCAATACAATAGAGCTATACAAAAAAACCTCAAAAAAGAGCTAATGATATTATTGCAAATGCTTACATACACAGCTCCTATGCATAAAGTTGATTTTGTGGTGTGATATGCTGGAATAAATCAGAGTTTCATAGAATCATCTCGAGAGTATCCAAATTGCAAAAATGACACAACACATCAAAACAATCTTACATCCAAAAGTAGAACTCAGATCAAAACTGGGGTGCTGCATTTCACCATACCACTTGGTCATGTGTAAATGTAGAATCAGTGGACTCATTAGTAGAGCTACAATTTTTAAGCCTCTTTGATTTGAGCTTTAGCACAAAAGAAATCTACATAGTGAC